TAACATTCTTGTAAAGAATTTGTCAGATTACGCGCAGCGTTTCAGGCAGGTCCTTATTCTAAGAAACTTATAAGTAGGTAAATACTTGCAAAATTTATAAAAATGATAACAGTTACATAGCATGAAAAAAAAATAAAAGATGAGAGAAAAAATTGTAGGTATATTAAAGCACATAGGTAGCTCAGAATGATTGCAATGACAGCTTGAATGGTAGTTTAACAAAACTTGGTAGACACAATACAGCATATGGCTAGCACATAAAAGAAGACAGCAATGAACACAATGATAAAGTTGTTTGGATTAAGTACATAAAGATTGGGAGATTGGGTAACACTAGATACAGAGCAAATTTAAAGTTCAGTGTAGGAAACTACGAAGATGAAATTAGGTACTTTTTGGTTTTGTTTTTTGCTCCCATGTCAGGGCCTGACATGGGAGCCTTGGGCCCCGTTGGACCCCGCCTGGGTTTTCTGACCTTCCGAGAGGGGCTTGCTGTTACTTGGAGTGGGTTTTTTCTTTTCTCTCCCTCTTGTGTACAAGTTGCCTAGGGCGTCATCCCCTCCCCGGGTTCGTTCCATGTCGTATTAGGTCCTGCATGACTTTTCGTCACGGATGCTATTGGGTGCTTTGACGGTAAAGCGTTGGTGTTCGGCTGTTTCAAAAGCTGGGGGCAGGGCCTCGTCACATAAAAAAAAAGAGAAGTTTGTCCTTTTGTCTGTGGTAAGGTAATGGGAAGACACACAAAACACAAAGTATAAACAATGATATTTTAATTACTCTAGAAAAAAAGATATGAATAAAGACAATCTCGTAAAATTCCAAACAAGTCAACAAACAAAACAACATGAATAATTACTGGCAGTGAAAAATTTACTCTAAGACAATAAAGTGATAGTAATATAAATAAGGTGAGGTGAGGTGCTGAGAATACTGGCTTCAAGCTGCCACCTCCCTTAGTACACGACAGCCAGGGCTTAGTCTACTAGAGAGAGATGTCAACTCCAAGGAGCACAGGGATATTCTGAGGAGACGGCGTGCTGCTGGCCCAGACGTCGACTCATGTAGTGGCGTGAGTGCAGGTGCGACGACACACCAGCCAATCAGCAACAGGCAGGCGGAGAATGAGTAGTTTGCTGGTTGACGGCGGGCGGAAGCCGGTGTGTTGGGTTGTGCAAGGTACGCTTTGCTTCCTGGGCAAAACGTTTGGCGATACTGGTGGACGTATCTTCAATATAGTATCTTGTACTTGAATGACGTAAATGTGTAGGGAAGAGCAGGCTCAATCTCTCTTGAAAGAGATTATTGTCACAGTGCATTATTGGAACGTCTGTCGCCTTCCGGTGAGTCTTCCTTCCAGTCCTTTCTAGCACTAGTTGGTATTCTTCCGTCCATTTTTCTCCTTTCGATGCTGTTTCCGATTTTAATGGTTGCCATTACTATTAATGGTTCCATATTCCTTGTTGGCACCCTCCCCGGGGGTAAAGTGGTGCAGCACAGACCTCGTGTGTCCTGCGTATGCGCCGTCGGTGATTGTTTTATTCTGGCCGGTGTGAGCGCGTGTTGGTGTTCAGCTAACTTTTTCCTGGGTTATACACTGCTCTCGCTCATGTTATCTCTCCAGTCATCGCCCCCTGGTTCTTAGGGTCATTCTGGGTTCTATGTTTGGGACTGTCATGGGGGGCAAATGGTTGCTCTGAGAGGGCCAATAGCTAAAGGCAAGGAGTTCCTCAAATAGTGGAAATAGGTAGGCCCGGCCCCCAGGTAAGATAATTCCCAGTAAATAATAATTAAATGCCTGCAGTCTAAGGTTAATCACCTACTCCACTCCAAACAGGATGAAAGGATACTCCTAAATGTCATTCCTTATTTATTAAACCCTCTAATAACCCCCATACACAAAATACAATAAATTACTTTACCACTTGACTTTACGTTAAACTCCTTGAATCCACATAAGCAGGAGACAAGGCTTACAAACTGCAACTAGGGTAAAGGCTACTTTCCTGAAGGAACACGAGAACACACATGAAGGTGTCACTGTAAATAAGGCACACATGGTTGGTCACCTTAAGCCATCCCAGAATTAACGGTTTGGGGTTCAAACACTGGCTTAAGAAGTCACCACTAAATAACCTAGAATTCTGTAGCACTTAATATACAATGGGTATAATACTTAGCTTAACACGATAAGGAGAGAGAAGAGAGGAGGAGGGATAGGAAATGGCCCACAAGGTGGTGCGATCATCTAAAACCGAGATCAGCCAGAGAAGACCGAAAACAGTCTCCCGGAGTGCTCTGAAGACCGCTGCCTGGATAGATACTCAATTGATCGTACAGTACCAAATATTACAAGTCTTCACAAACATTCATTACCAGGTGCTTTAACAATTCTCAGAATAGCTAATATCTAGCTCTATATTATATAACATATATAATTAATACAAGAGTTTTCCAGCTCTGTGAGCAACAAGGATATTCTTACGTCTGGCAGGGAAGACGGAAACAAAAACACATCAGGGATATGAAATGCCTTGAATAAAAGTAGCTTAATTAAATATCCCTCTTACATAATCCAATCCTATCAATTAAAGTATAAATATTTATTTAAAAACTCAAATTGACCTTTGGCTTCCAATTAAGACCCCCAGGGTCGTAACAGGGACACATCTAGTGACTTCTCTGCTTATGTGTGTGGGGCTGCTGGGAGTGGCACCACCTCCACCTCTCCACTGCTTCTGATCTGCACACGCATCTCTGGACATGCTCTACTAGCCATGCTTCCTGGCCACGACACGGCTACGCTGTGTCTTGACTCAATAGTGCCTCTGTTCTCCAGGTGAGATTTTGTGGTCTGGTGACTTGTAGGCCAGGTCTCTGGACGCTTCTTCATTGCCCTTTGTTAAGTGCCTGGCTTCCTTATGTGCGTTCCGAATCATAATGATGTCTAACCCTAGTAACAGTTTGGTTGGCTCATGTGTTGTGTTTCTGCTGCACTCACCTAGTTGTATTCATCTAGTTGTGCTTGCGGGGGTTGAGCTCTGGTTCTTTGGTCCCACCCCTCAACTGTCAATCAACTGGTGTACAGATTCCTGAGCCTATTGGGCTCTATCATATCTACATTTGAAACTGTGTATGGAGACGGCCTTCACCACATCACTGCACACACATAGTGTGTGTAGTGATGTGGTGGGAGCTCATCATCACTACTCAAGGATCCCATATCCCAGAAGGGCTATGTCTGTGGTCGCCCAGGGTTGACATCGGCGAACGCTGATTTTCATGTTCAACATTTTCCCATTGAGTTGATGTCCACATGGTGACATTCGCCTGGCCTGGCCTGGCCTAGCCTAGCCAAGCCTAGCCTAGCCTGGCCTTCCCTAGCCTGGCCTAGCCTAGCTTAGCCTAGCCTAACATGCCATGCCATGCCATGCCATGCCAATTCCTAGCTTTGGCTTTTTGGTTTCCCGAGTTCTCAGGGTGTTTTCCACAATATTCTTGGGGCGTTTGCCGATTTTGCCTTGGGCAACCGTTGGGGGGGGGGGGGGAGCGCAGAGCGTGGGTTGGCCCGGTAGATATTCTGGTCGGATTTTGACATGGGGTTCGCCCGTATGTCCGTTCCGTATACACATCCGTATGCCTTACATATGTATGGCGTGTATATATGCCATTTGTACCCCTCCCCTTCCTCCTATGGGTTGGAGCTGATGTTTCTTATTCTTGGGGTCTGGGTTTTGGTGGTCATGTGGGGTTTGCTTCTCACATTTGCACGTGAGTGAGGCAAGTGCCTTGTCTTTTCCTCGCTCCTTGTCTGTATATATGGTTCCTGGACCTTCTGTTGTCGATTGCTTCTGCTCTTGTTCCTGACTTCCGGTGCTTGGACTGTCTTTTGGGTCTTTTTGTTGCCCTTTACGTTTTCCTACCTCTCCTACACCTTGTTGTGTATCTTGGTAGGTGCATATTTGGCTATTCTCATGCTCGTGCTCGGTTGGGATGTCTTCTTTTTCCGTTTCCTGTTGTGGAACGGGCCTGGTGCTCTGGGGTAGCTTTGAGTTCTTCCTCTTCTCTTTGTTTGTCACTACCAGCTTCTGTGTTGCGATGTCTGCTGGTGTATATATATAGCTTTCTAATCACCCACTCCTTCCCCTACCTTTCCTTTTTTGTTGGGGCCTGGGACACTTTGCTTCTGCCCCTGGCTCCGGCTTTCTTTGTTCCTGTTCGGACTGTATGTCTTTCTTTGGTGCAGTACATGTCTTTCGTTGTTCTCCTTTCTTCCTCGGCGACACGTGCTTCATTCTACCCTGCTGGGGCTAGTCGTGCCGCTCCTGCGGGTTTGCGTGTCACTGTTTTTCACTTTGCATCTCGGGTTCCGGCTCGTGATGCTCGGTTCCTTGTTGACCTCTACCAGGGCCTTGGCTCCTAGGTTTTTTGCTGCCCTTTTTACCCTTACTGTTTGCGGAGTTTGCGGTTGGTACTTTCTGCAAGCAGCGGCTTCTTGTCTGTTGTCAGGCTTGTTGTACCTTCAAGGGTCCTGGGAAAGGATGCCTCCCGGACGAGTCGTGTCTGCTTGGCCGGGTTGGTTCTTTCCCGGATCTCCGGGTTTCGGTTCCTGGTTCCCTAGCAGTCGTTTCTTTTGGTTATTGCCAACCTTGGTTCCTTTGCCGCTTGCTTGGTGTTTGCACTCGGGGGTTTTCCCATGGCTCCGCCTCTTTTATGTGGTCGGTCCGGTCCGTGGCGGGGCTGGTTCGATCTTCTCCTCGAGTCTTCTGGACTGGTGCTTTTGACTCAAGTCTCTCACCATCCGGTTTGTGGTCAGGTGGCTTTTTTTTAATGTGCCCCATCTGTGTGCTTCGCCTTGGCAGTGGTATGGTTTTTTTTTCTGGCGGTCCTTCTTTTTCTTTTTGTCTCTTCGGGGGTGTACTGCACTCCTTGTTGTCTTGGTCTTGTCCTTCTCATGTGGTGCTTCAGGGCCGTCTTCTGGCCGCATATTGTCGCCCTGTCTCCTACGGCACTGGCGGAGCCACTTCAGATTGCTCTGGTTTTGTTGTTCCTTTTGCACCGTTTGTGGGTTGTCTCGGGCATTGTTCATCTCCGGTCTCCTCATGCTCCACCTGAGCCTTCCTGCTCTTGGGCAGGGTGCTCTTTTCTCTATTCCCTTCGGGTTGTTGTGGCCCCTTTGGTTCTGGAAGGGTCCCTGGGGTTGTTGATGCATGGTTGTTGGGCCGGGGTGCTTCTTCTTGTGTCCGGTTGTGGCTCTCTACCGTTCTTTGCGCGCCTCGGCCTCTAAGGCCGAGCTGCACTTTGGGTTGATCCGGTTTCCCTTCCCTATTCTCGGGCTTGGGTCTCTCCGGTCGTCTACTGGGTTCTTCTGTCTTCCCGGCCTGCGGTCTCTCCCTGTGCCCTTGACATTCGTGGGTTGCTGTACTTGCTGCGGTCTTGGGTGGCATGTTTTGGGCTGACATTCGGGCACCGGTTTTTTAGGCGGTCACGCTGGGTCCTGGCTGCGCGCTCGCTCGTGTACGTTCCTAGGCCTATTCAGGCCTCTGTCACTTTGGGTCGGCTGTTGCAGCCTGTTGTCTCAACTTCACGTTGTAGTGTTAGCGCCGACCGACTCCGGGATGTGTCCCTCTGTTTTCGTCTTTGGTGAGGTAGCTCCGGGGAGCCATAGAGGCTCCCCCCAGAAAAACAGCGTTGAATGTAATGAAACGCCATTTTCTGTGTGAGTCCTGGAGGCTCCCCGGCAACCCTCCCTCCGGTCAGCGTTTTTTCGCGTTTTTGATATCCAGCCTCAGAACTGGGGTGAGGATCGCCGGCGCGAAGATCAGGGGCTCCCCCTTCCCCTTCCCGGGGTGGGGGGGGGGGGAGCTGCGCAGACATGCGGCGCTTCTCGAGTAACATCTTGCTTGTTTGCTCGTTTTTGCTTTGGGGAGTTCTGTCCACTCATTTGATGTTTTTCGTTGTTAGCCAGAATAGGGGTCTGTTTTGTGGCGCTTACCTTTCTGGGTGCTTGTCCCAGTCGATGGCAGATATAGAATGCTCCAAATCACATGTGCATTTCTATGGGCCATTGCTCCTTGTGCCTCTGTGAGGGGGCCAGGTTCTGGCTCGTGGTCCCCGGTAGGCCTAGAACTCCACCCACATCGACTGATGCAAAATAGTTAGGGTATCCATATCAGCCATGGATAGCTCCGAGGAGCCTCCGGGACTCGCCCAGTGTTACGGACCCGAATCCAGCGTCCGAGCACGGAGCAGTGACGACCGCGCCATCTGTGGGTCAGCTCCCGAAACCCCCTCCAAATGGACGACGCCACCTGGTGAGGACGAAGTGTACTGGTCACAAGGGCCAGTTTCCAGTCCTGTTCAGCACATAACACAGCCGTTGCTGACCTCTGGTGAGGTGGTGCTCAGACGACAGCGCCATCTATGGAGTGGATAGGTGGGCGTTTGTGTCTGAGCCTGTAAGTGAGGTGCTTTAGTGTCCCTGTTATTGATGACGTGTCTGCTTACAGAGTCGAACTGGGACTGCTGTGATGGAAGTTGAGTCAGTCTACCCAAGGCAGCCGTCTCCATACCTTGTGCTTTGCTGCAGCAGCTGTGAAGTCGCCTCCCGGAAGAACACTGTTGTGTTACCCTGCCAGTGAAGTAGGCAGTAGAAGGATTGTCTTACCCGGGACCGACTGCTGGAGACGATTGACCACTGGGGTATTGAGGACAGGAGAGTGATTTGTGGTATCACACGAGGCTCCTGACTAGGGCGCTACCCTAGTATCGCTCGTGGAGTGGCCTGACCAGCATTGCTGATCCGGAACCTGCCAGCAGACCTGCTGGACTTGTGGTTGACGGCCTCCACGGCGGTGCCCCAGTGGAACTGTGTTGTGGCTGACCTGTGGCCAGGGTAGACTCAGCTTCTCAAAGGATTCGTTGTGAGGCCACGAAAGCACCAAGGACTTGGCACCAAGAGTTTGGATCCAGAGTCTTCAGGAGAAGACGATTGTGTATTTCCCCTGTACAGTGTTAATACCCCTCCCCCTGTGCACTCTTTTATTATATTATTTATTGGTGATGGAAACAATTATAGTCTTAAGTTCTTAACTTTCTTTCCCTTCCCCCTTTAAGTTACTTGCGTCACGGATCTCATCCCTTGAAAGCCACTACTGGCTTGGGGCCGGATACAACTTCCTCTAACGACATCAGAGTACAAATCCAGTTGCGACCCGAGAGGGCCGTAACACCCAGGAAATGGCATTTCATTACATTCAATGCTGTTTTTTTCCAATACAGTATATTCACTCAATCAATATGTATTTGTTTTTGCACCATTATTGGACATTTAGAAGTCCTGGAGAGTGTGATACTCTTGGAAATTGTTGACATGACACAAAGGGACAGCACACGTGGCGCACCATGTTAGTACCCATTTACGTTTCTGTGGCATCCTATGTGTGGTCTTACAAACAATGCACACACGCTGGCCTACTGCAAGCTTTCCAGTTAGTGGTTAGAAGTGTATTGTGCGTACCTGAAAACTCTCCCTGTAAGCAAGCCTGGGTGTCGGAGCATGGTGCCATAATGAGTTATGAAGGGCCTTTGTATGCCAGGAATTGGTTTGCCAAACTTTTCTAGTAATTGTGTCACTACAGTAAAGCTAAATGCATGGAAATTTGGTTTAACACCTGTTGTCCCAAGATATATATTGTAACTGTTCAGCATTGTTACGTCAACATGGTGTAAAAACATTTACTTGGTCCACTGTTTTCCATACACACTCGACAGCACCCACTATCGTGTCACATTTATCAACCAAACGTATGTTTATATTGTAGTTCATAACACAATCTGGTTTATATATCTTTTGTTTGGTGTTTTTTCACCTTGCCACTGTCCACCATTGTACCACTGTGAATGGTGGTCAACAAGTTCACTTCACGCCTGTTATTCCACAGCACTGAAAGAATTTGACCAATTTTTCTTAGCTGGCAATGCCCTACCTCCATAGCATTGCCAAACACTGGCATTTTCCTTCGTTTTGCCTTTACTGTGCCACACACACTCCAGTTCTATTATCAAGCAAGAATCTAGTTATCAAGGAACTTGTAAAATAGTTACCTGTGTATAATATGTGGCCCTTGTTCAGTCACGGTTCCAGTAGTCTTTTTGCCACACTACCTAAGAAACCATGTTGATTATTATCAGGAATGTCTACATTGGTAGACATCCCCCCTCCCCTTTTTTTTTTTTTTTTTTTTTTTTTTTTTTTTTTTTTTTTTTTTTTTTTTTTTTTTTTTTTTGAGATATATACAAGAGTTGTTACATTCTTGTACAGCCACTAGTACGCGTAGCGTTTCGGGCAAGTCCTTAATCCTATGGTCCCTGGAATACGATCCCCTGCCGCGAAGAATCGTTTTTTCATCCAAGTACACATTTTACTGTTGCGTTAAACAGAGGCTACAGTTAAGGAATTGCGCCCAGTAAATCCTCCCCGGCCAGGATACGAACCCATGACATAGCGCTCGCGGAACGCCAGGCGAGTGTCTTACCACTACACCACGGAGACTGCAGAATGCAGTCTTAGCAGAATGCATTATCATGTGTAACACAATTCCTGTTTCACAGTCACAAAGTACAAAGAATTTAAATCCAAATCTGTGGCGTTTGAAGGGAATATTCTGTTTGAAGGCAGCACGTCCTTTGAAAAGCACAAGGGATTCATCAATAACGAGCTTCTGAGCTGGTACGTAGAAATCTCAGAACTTTCCAATAAGTTCATTCAGAACATGCCTGACCCTCCAAAGCCTATATCTTGTGTTTTGTCTTCATTACTTGCGAAATGAAGACACCCGAGAAGTATCATAAACCTGTCACAAAATATATACAGTACTTGCCTAACACCTAACAATGGTGTTGGAACACAACGATCTTTGCTCCAATAATAAGTGATTACGTGTTTGACAATGTTTCATTAACCCTTAAACTGCACAACACGTCATATGACGTGTTGAGCAACTTACACAAAAGTGTGCATCACGTCATATGACGTTTTGGAGTACTACGCAAGATTTAATCAGCCCGCGGATACACAGGGTTCACATCACCTTCCCCAAGGCTCTTGTAAACAGACGCCATTAAAAAAAATCGTGGGCAACATTCCCGGGTGTGAGAGCCTCAGTACTGAGTGAGCCACCAAGGCTGGTGCACACGGCATGAGCTCTCATCACTGTTGTTCAGCTTGTGACCACAGCATTGCCTAAAATGTGAAAAAATATATGTAACTGTTATTATTTAGCGATGACAGTATTATAGAAGACCCCTGACCGTGATAAAAATGACTAGGATTCTGATAACAGGATTGTTGTGATAATTTGTGTTGTGCTGTGGGAGGAGTAATGTTGAGGGTAGGAGGGTTATAGCATCGTCTGCCGAATCTGTGTGGCCACCTGTTGCTGTCTGCACGTACTATACCGGCTTAGTGGTTCGCTATGGTGAACAAAATATGCAGGTATTTATATATATAAAATGTCTATACATAGTAAATAAAAGTTTAAAAAACAATATGGTGGGAGGAGAATGTTGGCGAGTCAGGTGAGGGAGGGAGTGGAGGCCAGTGGCTGACTGGTTGGTGTGCCGGCCACTACTTGCTGCTTTTTACTCAGCATACCAACTTAGTGGTTCGTTATGATGAAGACAAATGCAGATACTTATATATAACGTGTATATATAGTGTAATAACAGAAAAAGGAGTGTTGGGAGAACCTATTTTGGTGAGGGAGGTGGCATCATCTTCCTGACTAGTCATGCTGTATAAGATTGACCACTATGCTCTTCGTGCACTATACCAGCTTAGACGAACAGTTATGGTGAACAAAACATGTAGATACTTACATATAATGTCTATATACAGTGAATAAAAGCAAAAACTATATAGTGGGAGGAGGATGTTGGCGAGTGAGGTGTTTTTGAGGGAGGGAGTGGTAGCGAGTGGCTGGCTGGCCACTCCTCGTTGCTTTTTCACTCACCATGTCAACGTTGTGGTTCGTTATGGTGAACAAAACATGCAGATACTTATATATAACCTGCGTATATAGTGTAATAACCACAAAAGTATTTGTTTATTGTTTTATGAACATAATAATTGAATCAATAGTATGCACACCATAATTTTGAGTACAGCAATGATTCACACATTTTATTACAGTGTATAAATATACTGTACCACACTATTGAGTAATATTAAAAAAAACTAAGAAAAAATCAGACTTTGAAATAATTATGTAATGTGATATCTTTGTGGCAACTCCCGCCTGACAGCTGGGGTGAAGCAGACCGCCTCGGACGCTTGCTCTGTCAGCGCCTCTTTTCTCGGGGAAGCCCCTACGGCTCCGTGGAGCTATCCAGGCTGATAAGGATATCCCTAAGTATTTGCATCAATTGATGTGGGGGGAGTTCTAGGCCTACAGGGAACCTT